GACTGCAACAGGTGCAGGGAGTGGTGTGAGTGCGGTACTGTCACGGAAGAAGCAGCAGGAAGCACCTGAGTCAAGCGTGAAGGTGTGCAAGGCCTCAGCAGGTGCAGTACCCAAGAGAGCAGACTCGCTCGCACCTAAGGCAGCAGCCTCACCAGCATCTAGAGTACCAGTCTCTATACCGGGGTCAGGCGGCACACACAAGTAACAGTCACCATCAGCACTAACCTCCAATGCATACATGGCAGAAATAATAGCATCATAGTCAAGAGCAAGAATATGTACACCAGCCCTAAGCAGCTCATGCCAGCGAGGGCGCTCAGCATCCTCGCCCATCTCCTCACGCCAGGCGTCGTCAAGGCGGGAGAAGCAGCGGTGTTGGGTGTGGAACTTCCCGCATGTCTGACCCTTGCTGTCACCTGTGCGAATGACATATGGGCAGCGACCACCACCCCCAGACCTCCCACACTGAGCAAGCCACTCACGAAGTTGCTGGGTCGTCTGGAGACTCTGTTGCTGCTGCTGCCTTTGGCCAGCGCCCGTGCCTCCACCCCGACCGCCACCTCCACCGCCACCACCGCCTCGGGCACCACCGCTGCTACCACCGCCGCCGCCACCACCGCTGCCACCCCCTCCGCCACCACTGCCTCCACCGCCGCTACCGACACTACCACTCCCGCCACCACTCCCGCCACCACTCCCTCTGCCACCTCCTCCTCCTCCACCGCCTCCACCACCACCCCCCCCCCCCCCCCGATGCTACCTCCACTACTCTTGGCTCCCTTGCCTTTGCCGCTGCGGCGCCTCCCACTAGAAGCAGAAGCAGCACCAACAGACTCAGCACCAAGGTAGTCAACAACAGCGGCAGTAGCGTAGGAGGGGGCAAGGGGAGAGGGAGAGCACCCCTCAAAGATGGGGGTGCGAGGAGCGTCACGAGCAGCACCTACAGCGACAATGCTCTTCTCTGCTGCAAGGAGGTGCGAGGAGCGTCACGAGCAGCACCTACAGCGACAATGCTCTTCCCTGCTGCAAGGAGGTGCTCCTCTAGGAGGTCGACAGTGAGTTCGGTGGGACAGCGAGCGAGAAAGTGGTCCCTGACCGAGCTAAGAGAGTCAGGGAGACAGGTGACTATGAAGTGGAGGGTCCAGTACATGGGAGGCGGGTGCTTAGCACAGAACTCTTTGGGGAGGGCGGCGCGAAGGCGGGTGTCGCTAGTGCGAAGGTGGGTAATGAGATCGGCAACTGTGGCAAAGGTGGACAGCTCAAGAAACAGGTAGGGCAGCATGAGGCGGCTAAGCTTAGCTGTGGCAGGGGAGGAGTATCGAGCAACTACAGCATCGTACAGGGTCTTAGCGGTCTTGTACTCGCCAAAATGCGTGAGCTCGGCTAATGGAAGGTGATTGCGATCGGCTGGGCGCGCAGCAGCATCACGGGTCCGCCACTGGGAACGGGCGCTAAGCTTAGCGGTGGCAGCGGGAGCGACTGAGGCACCAGACGTGTGGTCATAGAGAGAGAGACATTGTCCTTGCTATCGCTCATTAGGAACAGCTGCAGGTCATCTAGCCAGGTTTCGAACTGAATCGGGCGGCCCTCGGCATCGAACGACAGAACTCGGAGGGTGGCCATAGCTGCTGGCGCGGGACTAGAAGGGCAGAGCGATTGCAGGCAAGCAGTAGTAGCAGCAGCAATAGCACTAGCAGCAGCAATAGTAGAAGCAGCAGTGCAGCGTGGCTCGGGCAGTGCAGCGCGGCTCGGGCGGTGCAGCGCGGTTTGGGCGGTGCAGTGCGGCTCGGGCGGTGCAGCGCAGCTCGGGCATGGTGGGGCAGTGCGGCGCTGGCAGCAGTAGCAGCAGCGTAGCAGTGGCTGCGTAGCAGGCAGCCGCGGCAAGGGCAGGCGGCGCACGGGGCTACAGGCGGCCGGCAGGGCAGCAGGGCGGGCCGCACGCAGAGCGTAGTGGGCGGCTGCCTGGGTGCAGCAAGCAGCCGCGGCAGCAGGGCAGGCGGCGCACGGGGTGCAGCAAGCAGCCGCGGCAGCAGGGCAGGCGGCGCACTGGGCGACGAGCGGCCGGCAGAGCAGTGGGGCGGGCGGCGCACGGGGCTGCGGGGCAGCGCGACGAGCGGCGCGCGGGGCGTAGCAGGCAGCCGCAGCAGGAGCAGGCGGCGCACGGGGCTACAGGCGGCCTACGGGGCTGCTGGCGGGCAGCGCGCGGGCCGACAGGAGCTGCGCGCGGGCTGCGCGGACAGCGGGCGGGTCGTGCGGGCTACTAGCGGGCGGCGCGCGGGCCAGCAGAGGCGACGCGCAGGCCGCACGGGCTGCTTGCGGGGCGTGCGCGGGGCTAGGGCAGGGCAGGGCGCGGGGTAGCGCGGCCGCAAGTGGTAGGCGGTGGGCCCGAAAAAAAATCGCTCCTAAGGTCCTAAGGACCTAATGCTCTTAATACCATGTTAGAATAGGTAGCTAGGAATGAGTAGATTACGAGAGTGTTTGGGTACAAAAGAAAGCCCTAAGGGGTTGTACCCCATATTGGCTACCCCACTAAAGCCTGTTGGGAACAAGTGATCTAAATACGCCTCTGTCGTGTCGAAACACCAAGTCAGAAGCGAAGCAGAACATATCGAAGCATCGGCGAGTCAACCCTCGGAGGTTGAAACAACCGTTGGAGGTTACGGGAAAGTCAAAGGTCAGCGACCTTTGACCTGACAAGTGCAGCGCGACAGCAAGGACACACAACTGACTCGATATCGAGCAGTTGCCCGAGTCGTCCCTGTATCGAACCGCAACAGCAACCAGTAAAACAGTTATTAACCGTATCTCTTCGTATCCCTTGTACTCTTACCGTATTCTCCCGGACATAACACCCGGGGGTATTATGATAACCACAAGGAAAAAAGGGGGGGGGGGTCCTCTCAACGGAAAATCCTATATAATACCCGGGTGGTTATATATGGTATATTTTAATGCAAGAGGATTCTTTAATTAGACAGTTTGGGTGTTTCAATGGTCGTTTAACATCACAGTTTGAGGCGAGAATGTGAGTTTCACCTTTCGGGCCACTTGCAGCGGAAGATTTGCCAGCGTGGCGACTTCCTAGAATGTGGGATGGAGGAACTGTCCACTTGCAGTGAAAGATTCGCCAGGGTGGCGACAGTGAGATTGTGGGAGGGGGAAATGTAGGCGGATTCTAAGTGCAAGTACATGCGAAATTTCATCTAGGAAGCAATTCTCGCGATATTCTCCTGTAAGGAATCAGACTCGATAACAGCTATAATAGGAATCCGTAAGAAAAGGGGGGTGTTATAGAAAATCATCCAAAATGGGGGGTATAGTAGAAACGAGGTCGCCCATAGCACCCACCCCGCACAAGCTACCCGGGGGTGTACTATCATGGGGGGGTGTTTTGCCCGGGAGATCACGGTATATAAATCCTTGTATTTGCTTGTTTTAATCAATCTACTTTGCCCTCACATATTAGCGCAAGGTGGTTCACAAAGTTCTTATTAAAGACGCTTCCGCTATTACATCATCCTACGTTGAATCAAGTCCTGCAAAGATCCTAAGGGCCTTTTCAGCCCAACAAAGCCTACATATTCTATCATAACATACATCTAGTTTGACATTACGCATTGCAAAAAGGAGTCCTAATGATCATTACATTCAAATACAACTTCAAAAACTGTATCATTATCATAAGACCTGGTCACCCGAGTCTTACAAAATTATTAACATATGATAAGACTCTCCACAACATTTTCGTGTGGTTTTCATAAGACCCTATGGTCTAATATGCTAGTGATTATGGTAAGCACAATGCCGCGAGCGCAAGAAAGTGACAAGCCAGTTCATTGATCCTTCATGTCTTGGCAAAAAAACCCTTGAAGGGGAATACTTCGCATAATGGACTAGGGCAGTCGATCTACATTCTCTTCTGCATTGCCATTTGGAGGCAAACTGTGGTAGCTATGAAAAAAAGGTTGTTCATGGTCTGATAGAGCTTGATTTGAAAAGAGGAGCCCTCATGGGTAAAGGCTACTATAAGATAACCGCAGGCAAACAGAGCAACATGCCAATCCACAACCTACTCACTGCACAATCATAACCGTTATTAAGGCTCCTAAACATGTCAATGCTGCGGCTGTATCTCTTAGCGATCAGCAGGCCGCACGTGTCGCCGCGCCTCACACTGTATGTTCTCTTGGTTGAACAGGACAGGCCCGAGACAGGACGAGCGTCAACACCAGCCACACAGACCTGCCAATTGTGTTTCCGTGAAAACAAGAATTGCATGAGACAACCTAAAAAGCGTCGAAGTTAAAAGGCTCACTCCCGACAAAATCTCACATTGCTGCCAGCAACAGCCTACTCACCTTCCTTGTTACTCACCACTCACACCCTCAACTCCCTAGCTCTACCACTTACCCTGGCCTCTTGAATCATTGCTAGTAAATTATGCACATCCCCCACACTCACATCATTACCCTGGCCCTGTACAACCCGTGCACTTGTATATCCCTTACACCCTTAAATCCTATCCGGTTTCCGTGAAGCTCGTAAATCCCTTGCACTCGTAAATCCCTTACATTCTTCAATCCCCTACACTCGTACAACCACCCGCGCGTCGCTGCACACACACCGCCTCACACTTCCCTCTCACTCACTCACACCCTCAACATTCACACTGCACTGCAGCAAAGATTCTTCCAGGAAGCCTCGGACACACCTGGTCCCATACACCTGGTCCCATGCACCTGGTCCCATACACCTGGTCGCATACACCTGGTCCCATACACCTGGTCGCATACACCTGGTCCCATACACCTGGTCGCATACACCTGGTCCCATACACCTGGTCCCATACACCTGGTCGCATACACCTGGTCCCATACACCTGGTCGCATACACCTGGTCCCATACACCTGGTCCCATACACCTGGTCCCATACACCTGGTCCCATACACCTGGTCCCATACACCTGGTCCCATACACTTGGTAACAGCTTTCCCACCCACCCGAGTCACAGTGTTGCCCTGAAGCGGGCTGTCGGGCAGCAGCGAGTCGCACGGAAGGCCGGGGTTGAGCTGGAAGAAGCGTGCGGGAGAGGCGAGGCTGAAGGCCTGCCACAGCCCCTGACAGGTCTGTGGGCTCTCAAGCTCGCTTATGAGTGCGTCATCTACGGTGAATGGGGCTGTCTGCTGCCGGCTGCTGGAGGGTGGTGCTGGCGAGATGTGAGTGTAGTGCGTGCACTTTGTGCTTATCTTTCCGGCGTCGTACCACTGTTGGTCAAACGTCACACATAGAAGCTGCAGGGAAGGGAGGGAAGGGGGGAAAGCAGCAGTTAAGGGGAAGGAGCGGCAGGTAAGGGGATGGGCAGCAATAATGGGGGAGGATCAGCAATAAAGGGGGAGGAGCAACAATAAAAGGGGAGAGAAGCGAGGCAGGGGGAAGGGCAGCAATAAAGGGGGAGGAGCAACAATAAAGGGGGAGAGAATCGAGGCAGGGGAGAGAGGATTGATGACGGGTTGAAATGTAGATGAGGATTCCACTCTCATCGTGCTTCCACATCGGAGGGTCATTACCATCCACATCGGGGTATACTGGGGTACATTGGGGCATACTGGGGTATACTGGGGTACATTGGGGTATATTGGGGTGTACTGGGGTACATTGGGGTATATTGGGGTATACTGGGGTGCATTGGGGTATATTGGAGTATACTGGGGTACATTGGGGTATATTGGGGTATATTGGGGTTGTTTGCCTCACGGAGGTTATTTCGGAAACAAACAGCTAACAGCATGACTTGTGCAATATTCTCAATCCGAGTTCGAGGAGCTGCGCAGAATCACATTCGCGTTTTTGTTCTTCTTTGCACCAGCTGCCCCCAAAATTAATCGGCCAGACGTTTGCGTTATTTTCAACCATTTGGCGTTTATCGTTCCTCGCTGACCTCACCTACCCATGCAGTGGCCCATCCGAGCAGCTGAGCGCCTTGAGAGTCGCCTCAAGAGTCGCCTTTTGAGGCGCCTCTGAACTTCGTTCAATTCGCTGATCTCACCTACTCAAAAGTGATCTCACCTGCCCGTGCCTCGGCCCATCGGAGCAGCTGAGCGCCTTGAGAGGCGCCTCAAGAGTCGCCTTTTGAGGCGCCTCTGAACTCCCTTCAATTCAACCCGCTGATCTCACCTGCCCGTGCCGTGGCCCATCGGAGCAGCTGAGCGCGGGGTTGAGCGGCTCTATCTGCGTGTCGAAGAGCGCGTTGATGGAGTCACAGGTGTCGCCCTGCAGGCACACGTGTCAGATACAGGGAGAAGTGGAAGTGAGAGCGAGGGTATTGGGAGAATTGGGTTGTACGGCTCCATCTGCGTGGCAAAGAGCGCGCTGATTGAGTCACATGCACGGGGGAAGAGGGCATTTGAGACATCTCAAAACTCTATCTGAGTGGCGAAGAGGGGTCGCAACACAAAATGGCGCTGATGTCGCCACTCAGATAGAGTGGTCAATTGTGTCGCTCTGGTGTCACATGTACATTGGGGGAGCGGTGAGGTCAGGTGAGGCGAGGTGGGGTGAGGAGAGGTGAGGTGAAGGTTTGGCCAATAGCGAGTGGAGAAGAGGGGATTGGCGGGGGGAGTGGAGATTGAGCTGGGTGAGATTGAGTCATTTGTGTGTGGATTCTCCCGTAAATGGATTAACCCATGAGTGGAGAGTGAGTGGTGGCACATGCAGTAGACAGGTATACACTAGGCATGAGAAAACGAGTCGAATAATATCAGATCTCGACTCGTATTCGTTACTTGACCGAGGCAAGTAGATTGTTCAGAACTGCCACTTACATTAAGCAATGCCACTTACTTAATTAACAGTGTACATTGCTGTACATTTCTGTGATTGCAATGCCACTTACATGATTAACAGTGTACATTGCTGTACATTTGGAGAAAGCACGGCTGGTGACGTTGACCAGGGTGCCAGCAGGAATGGGAGCTCGACACTGGAAGCCCTGGTATCAGAGCATGGTATCAGAGCATGGCATCAGAGCATGGTATCAGAGCATGGTATCAGAGCATGGTATCAGAGCATGGCATCAGAGCATGGTATCAGAGCATGGTATCAGAGCATGGTATCAGAGCATGGTATCAGAACATGGTATCAGAACATGGTATCAGAAGGTATCAGAGCATGGTATCAGAGCAAGGTATCAGAGCAAGGTATCAGAGAATAGTATCAAAGGATGGTATCAGAGCATGGCATCAGAGCATGGGCAGTCGAGCGAGAGTGGGGGAGAAAGTCAGCCAAGGCAGAATGGGAGGGGTTCGACTCATGAAGCCCATGCGAGTGGGCTGGGAAAGATGGGGATTGGGAGAGATTGAACAAATGAGAGATTGGGATAAACTAGCATACAACGAGGTGGTAAGGACGAGGGGACAGTGATGGGGAATGAGAAGGAAGGCTTGGATAGCTCGAGGATAGCTCAGAGTAACGTCGCCTTGAGCTATCCAAGCCTTGCTTGCC